TTAGCCAAGAGCCTCCCGTAGTATTTATACCTAAAATTATGGCCTGACCTAGTACACATATTACATTCCGATGTCCGCCATCTTGGTTCGCATACTTCGGGAGCCCCCAATTTAGAATCTGGTGGTTGTTATGGATTGAATATTTTGCGGGACAGAAAAATCATTATACGGTGAAAAAGGCGGCTCTTTTAACAAGCGCGTAAACGCGGCGACTGTTTCAGACGGGGATGGGAATTTTTTACGGCGTCTTAATTAAGCTGTCGCAGAACCAGGTGGCTCGGCGGTGTGGCGCATCGTGCTAAGCGTTAGGAATACGCTCGCCAGCGCATCTCTGATTACCCTTCGTGGGTTCGAATCCCATGTGGCGATGATCATGTGCGAGAAGATTGCTGGACTCCTCGCCGCAGTAGGGTGGTTCACGTAACCGCTGGTTGGTTACGGCTTCCTCCACCATCAAGTCCATGCTTCCGAAAACAAACAAATAACTAACTAATCCCAAACCCGACATCCCAGATAGCACAACTTCGTCGGCACAACCAAGGCCGAACGTTGTTTGAACCATCGGCCCAATAATGGCGAACAACCATGTTCCTAGGAAGAATTGGCCGCTGAGCCAACGTCAGTCCTTTCGCTGTAATGCAACCGAGGCAAACGTCAGTCCTTTCGCTGTAATGCAACCGAGGCAAACGGTCGGGCGAACGTAGGCGATACGTTGTAAACAATCGTGCAACATGACCGGGCCAACCTAGGTGATACGTTGTAACACAATTATGACATATGGCCGCGCCAACGTAGGCGATACGTTGTAACACAATCGTGGCATATGGCCAGGCCAAGGTAAGTGATGTGTTGTAATACAGACAGGGTATGGATCTTTACTACAAATGCCACGAAATTTACCACTAATCAAACATTGATTATTTAATAAAAAAAAAATAATAACAAAATGTCTTTATTTTACAAATATATATACATGTACTACAATTAATCGGAGTTCATTGCCAGATCATCCAGAGCTGAAAAATATAAAATTTCTGTGTTAAATTGTTTTAGAAGCTATTCCATAACACAATATTGCAGTATTATCGCAACAAATTTTCAGAGTAGGAGTCTCAAGCCAAGTTTCTGCAGTCGCGAATGTGTGAGTGAAGCTTACATTGACAAGAAAATATTAATTGCAAAATATAAGCTTGTATTCATAGAACTAGAGTTAGACTTTCAGAAAATCATTATCCTCAGAAAAAGTCAGCTATAATAACAAGTGGTGAACCGTGGGACTGTTTTAGCGGTCGAGGCACAGGAATTTTTGATTCCGCAAGGGGGGTGTAGACAATGTTTTGAGGGGGCATGAGGCTAATTAAAAATATTTGTTAGAATTGATCTTGCGCGCCTTATTTTGGATAAATATATTTCCTTATCGTTTAGAGCAGGGCTTCCCAAACTTTTGAGCTCGCTGCCCCTTTTAATATATTAAAATTTTTCGCGGCCCTTGTTCACGCTAATAATGCTAAACAGTTCAAAATAGGCATTTTTGAAATTTTATTGACACAGCTAATTCTAAACTTTTAATAGGGCTACTCAATACCAAAAACATCTGTACTCAGATTATTCAATGTAATGGGTGCGAATGCTTCTTGCTGCATAGCAAGTTCAGCCGTGGCGCAATGTTTGTTCATGCAGGCCTAATGATAAATTACGATGTCTGCCCACCGACGACCTGGTCCTAATCCGAAATTGTTCACATTTATTGATTAAACTTAGCATAAAGCAGCGGTTTGCAGCGGCACCAAATTCTCAAGATAAAAACTAATGACGCACCTCCACTAAAAAATATGCTGCCGCAAAATAAAACACAAGTTTGTCATCGTTAATATGTACTTTATGCCTTTTGAGGTTTATAAACATGTGGGCCTAACTCTGCCTAGCTTTTCTTTAAAATGCCTAAAACTCACTCATGTTCGATAAACTCGGTTCAGCAAATGAATAAACTGCGGCCAACGAAATTGCAGCATTAGGGTTTACCTGTTACGTAACAACGTAACAGAAAGTAAATAATATAGAACGGTAAAATGAATTTGATTCATATTGAGAAACAATAACACATTTGGAATAAATATAATATCGTCACGCTAATAACCAAATTGCGTAAGTCATTTTTAGCAGTTTTGAGAAAAACGTAAAAAACTTCCTAATGATATTGCTATGCCATTGAGAGTCAATAATTTGTCATTGTTTAATTTTTTGATCGTAGCCGGATTTAAGTTAATTTGTATGACGCAGTCATGTGACGTCATAATGGCACACTGTGACTTAGGCAGAAATGTGTCTATGACTAGGGGACATACGCAATTCGGTTATTAGCGTGACGATATGTAATATGTTTCGAGGCGCATTGAGCAAATCGCTTTCTGAAACGGCTAGCTTAGCGTTTAAAGCCGGCATTGTTATGCAAGCACACAAATTGGGTCAAACGATCAGAATATGCATTGTTATGCAAGCGCGATGATTCTACCGTGTTTCCCCCAAAATAAGTCCAAGCCTGAATTTTAAAAATGAATTTAATACAACCGCTCGCCTTGAAAAAAGACTTCGTCGATAGCGCAATTTGTTCACCTAATCCAGGGGAAGTCTCAATTTTGCTAGGCATCGCAAAATTTCGTGATGGTGTTATAATAAATAAGTTTAATTCTGAAAATTCGGTTTTCTGTAGATACCGATTATTTTTCCTTGGTTCAAAAAGCGTTGCGCACCCCATCTCCTTTGCGATTTCGTATTTATATAAAGTAGGCTTTTTTACCATGGCCCAGTAAATGTGATTTCACTGACTGTTGTTAGTTTTTGTTTGTTCGTTTATATAAGACTCATTGCAAAAAAGGTATTATATTGAAATGTACTAATACGTACGGTATGTTTCACGGGAAGTCGCAACTTGAGCATATTTCTGGAGGGCGTCACAATACAATGAAGTTCGAAAACCACTTGGTCCTAGTCGATAGAAAGAAATCTACTTTTTAAATGGTTAATAATCTATATGTAGCAGCTATTTTAAATGAAAACGTGCTATTAAATTGGTATCATATTCAATCATATTATTTATATATTTCGGTATTCATATTTTGTATATTAAAAAAATCTCGTTATTCTCAACATCTCCCAAAAAGGAGTCCCAGTGTTCGAAAGAAAATTGAAGACAATGTATTATTTTCGGGAAAACACGGTATGATGATTTATATTCACTCGGGATCGTGAAATTATCGCTTTACACTATTTTTAAGAATTGTATTTCAAATCAAGTGTAAAAAAGTGCAATAGATATTGTACTTTGTATAAAATTGGTGCTCTCTTCGCGGCCCCTAGAATTCGTTTCGCGGCCCCTTCCAGGGCCGCGGCCCCTAGTTTGGGAAGCCCTGGTTTAGAGCAGGAGTGGGCACGGTTTTTGGAGCGAGGGTCAAAAATTGTGCCCACCTATAGTGGCGGGTCATGTAAGTGTGACCTAAAAAGTAACATTTTATAAATAATATTTACAGTGTTACAAAGAAAAAGTGATTAACAAGATACCTCGTGCCAACACTAAACTGAACCACAATCTTAACAAATTCCATGGGCTATTTTTAGATAAAACCCAAAATTTATTTTCGGTTTTGTTGAGGCAGCTTCAGTCGGGTCAGATTAAATTACTCAACGGGCCAGATTTGGCCCACGGGCCTTACATTGCCCATGTCTGGTTTAGAGAGTGCAGATGGCTGCCATGCTTGTATCTTTATTACTCATAGCGTGGAGCATGTTTGAGTTCAACTTTATGCTGTTGGTTCGTACATTCTAGAACCTTTATTGTTAGCGAGATATTTTTGAGGTGGGGCTTAATGTCTTAAACGGGGCGCGGCTTCAAAAGTTTGAGGACCACTGCTCCGAGATAAGATTCTCAAAGGGATTTTCAGCACTGATGGAGATGCTAATACTATTTGGTTGAATTTATATTGGCAAATACAAACATAGATATGTTTGTAATACTATTATCCTCTCATTACATACCTTGATCGGTCCTTACCTGACAATGCTCTCTGTATGTTGTCCCTGTAATATGTAAAACAAAATGTACTATATAAGCAAGTTCGAATGGTTCACGTAACCGCTGGTTGGTTACGGCTTCCTCTACCATCAAGTTCATGCTTCCGAAAATAAACAAATAACTAACTAATCCCAAACCCGACATGGAATGGTAACCAGACTAGAGGCCATGGTTCGCCAAATGGTTAAGCCGTCTTAACGATTTTCCTCTCCCCGGGATAAATATGTGAATCCTATTCTATCCTATCCATTGCGGGATTTCCGAACCATGGCGGCTGACTTTTCAGCTGCCACAAACCAACTTTGGGTAAGTTGGAACATTTTCCCTAAGGATACTGTTTTTTATGGATTTGGTGTTAGGTTTCAGGTTTAGGTAGCTATAATTCCACACGATAAACTAAAATCTGGTACCGATGCTACCGCCATAAAAACAAGGCCAAGAGATGGCGAAGTTCGTTCGTGGCAGGAGCCGCCATGAAGTGGTAAGACCTGCGCCTCAGTGTATTGGCCGCTCCATTTGCGAGTGATCGAACAAGGTGTTCTGTCTAATTTTCTATTTTCTAATTTCCATGCAAAAACTAACTAAATCGATTAATTATTGGTAACTATATATAAAATGTGTGCACGAATTGGATGACGACTGATAATATGGATTAACCTATATTCAATGGATATTAACTGGACTATATATGATACAAAACTCCGGTAATGGTATGGTTTTATATTTTAATTGTTACATATATTATTGAACTTGTGGGCAATGTGTTTTGAAATTATGAAATTGTTTTAATTGGGTGCAAATTATACTAATTCGACAATAAAATTAATATACGAAAATTCCGTTTGGCATTGGAATTTATTTGGCAAAAAAAAAAAAAAAAAAAAAAAAAAAAAAAGGTGTTCGAAAGTGCTACCGTAGTTGTATGTATAGGATGCTATACCATTCCATGTCGGGTATGGGATTAGTAGTTATTTGTTTTTTTTATTTTTACATTACATGACATATATTAAATTTTTACAAAACTGTTATGAATCCACAACGTGGACCTTTAAAAAAAAAAAAAAAGTAGTTATTTGTTTTCGGAAGCATGGACTTGATAGTGGAGGAAGCCATAACCGACCAGCGGTTACGTGAACCACCCTATTTCTTTTATACTGTCATTCAGTCATTGCACAGACCACACAAACTTTATTAAGTTATGACACACTTTACTTATAAAAGATCTCTGTAAAGATAATCATGTCGGCCGTGTAATATTACAGGTCTCTTGTAGTTTCCTTAAATGAAATATTGATACCGGTATAACTGGAATAGTCTCACTTAGTTGGATAGGATTTACATATTTATCCTGGTTAAGTCGTTTAATTAACAATTTCCCTGCAGCGGACTGTTGAGCACCTTGAATCGTACGTTGCAACCAAGTCCATGCTTACGAAAACAAATAACCAAGTACCGGTACCGGTAGTGCCATACAGGTACCGGACGAGAGGCCGTGGTTCGCCATATGAATAAGCCGTCTTATCGGCTTTCCCCTCCCCCAGGGATAAATATGTAAATCCTATCCTAACTCTCCATATATTCAGCAAGTTCTGAAGTTGCTAATCATTATGCAGCCTGCACTAATTCGATATAAATATACGGTATCCCTACAGTTACAGCAATGTAAAACTACAGTCCTTCGTTATTTATCTGCATTTGCTTATTACCAGCTTAATACAAGTTTTTGAGAAGTTTCAAAGTAGGTATTAATTTCAAGTTGTTTTTACAAAGCTTTTTAATAACCATAGTTGTATGTTTGATTTTATATCTACTGTTCATAATAGAGATAATTAAATCCAAATAATTCAATCTAGGATAGGTTGACATACCGGTACTTATCCCGGGGGAAAGGAATGTCGACAAGCCGATGAACCATGGCCTATCGCCCAGTTACCAGTCCAAGTCTGTCGGGTATGGGATTATTTAGCCGGGTATTTATTTTTGGTTGCATGGATATGATGGTGGAGGTAGCCGTTACAGACCAGCAGTCACGTGAACAACCCTACAGTGACTAGGAATCCAGCAATCTTCTTGCACATAACTATCCCCCCTTAGGATTCGAACCTGCAAACCCACGCAAGGTTATCAGAGGTGCGGTGGCGAGTGTATTCCAAACACACCGCCTTTTCATTCTTGTAATGTATGCTCCTTAAAATAAGAACTAGCAGAAGTTGTTGAAAATGTTTCTATTCGTATTACTTTCTTGAGGAGTAGAAGTGGTGACTCCTCTACGGCCCATGGGCCAGGGCCACGGCCCATCAGGCTATGGGCCGCGGCCCATCAAGTTGTGTAAAGGGACTATTCACTTGGCAAACACAGACAGTGACCTAACCATAACCTGGTACCCTCTACATACTACAGGAGTAGTATGTAGCTTGGTATTTATTTTTATATAAATGCTTATCGTAAGAAAAAAATTTGGAGGCATCCCGCGATTTTTTTTGGTTCGAATATTGACAAATTTTGGTAAGATAATTGAATTTTTCCTGATGGGGCCGCGGCCCATAGGTTGATGTGGCCAAATTGGATGGGCCGTGGCCCCGGCTCATGGGCCGTAGAGGAGTCACCACCCCTGTAGTTCTTGAGGACCATGGTAATTAAAAGATATCCTTAGTTTTTGAGAAATGGTAATATTTAGTGGAACTTATTGCTGTGTCATAAATTTTATGAGTCGTATTGTTATTTGCATCTTTTTGTCGTCAAGTTTCGATTATATAACCAAATAAGATGAGTATAAATCGCTAGGTGTTTATTAGTTAGGTCATCAGTAAACAATTATTTGCCCGCATAATAAAAGAAAGTGTATGATGAATAACAAATAAATATGTGTAAAGAAATGTACAATGCTATTGATAAACCACTGTTTTTTATATTTTGTTCTTCCAGTTATTGTGATTTTTAATAACTCTAATTTAATATTTTTAGGTTTGTTGTTATTTTAGTTGATAGAAAAATTGTTACTTTATATGAAGGAATATGATTTTGTTAAACATTCATTGGTTATAATCTTCATTGGTATATTTAGAATAATGCATTTTCATCATAATGATTAAAATGTTTAAAATAACTAAGATTACAAAGATTGACACTGATATATAATGTATAGGATATATTCTGTTGTAAATTGGCTTCTGTTGTAGTAACATAATTCTCCATACTATTATCAATCTAATGTAATATTTTCACAGATACTGTATATTTTGATAACATATTCATTGTCATCATGAGATCGGCTGAAAATGAAATCAACAATTCTTTACAAATGGCTTCATCGAATTTTGATATTCAAGAAACTTGTAAAAGTTTAACTCAAGTCATTGAAACCTGTGGTGTTCATTCGCTCGGAAATATTTTTCAAAAATTGGTTGAAGATATTTTCATCAACAAAACATATAAATGGTGTTTGGTGAGAAGTGGAGTTCCTATGGCAGACTTTGGTATTGTGAGAAGATTCCTGGGACCAGATGGAGCAATGTTTCAACTTATAAATAGAATGCAAATACATGGAGTGCAAGTTAAAGGACCAGATATGGTGGCTCTTGGAGAATTTCACTCAGATCTCATGTATGATCCTCAAAGATTAGTCTGTCCTTTTGAATCATATTTCTGTCACTTTTCTCATATTATAACAAAGTTAAGTTTGAATACGACGATTTCCAACAATATGTTTCCACACAACAGATTCAACTTGAGAAACCCGAATTTGTTAGTAAGCGGAGCTGAAGATTTACTTTACTTTGTTTTGCTGGACGATTACTTATCATATTATCTTCCTTCTGGTGCTGATGCCAAACCTCCTACTTTAAATACTGGTGGGTTATTCAACACATCAACCAAGGTGCATCGTAATATCACTAAATCCAGTTTTCTGCTGAGACATGATTCTAATAATGTTATATCACATGGACAACCTTCTCACAGTGAGACTTGGTGCTGTGATGTTTTGATGAATATATTTACAACATTTTGGATGTATGGATTTCAACCAAACAGAAATGAATTCTGTAGCGGTTCTGCTGTTCGAGGAAAGGTTCCAACTGAAAATCATGTCAGGGCAGTTAGACTTCTCGTCAAGCATGTTCACTTTTTTTGTAATGCTCACATGGGGAACACTTTGACCAAACGGTTTCAAAATGACTCGATCTTGGAGCAACTTGACCAGAATTTGATGAATAAATTTCAACCTAAATTGTTCATGTTTTTGCAACATTGTTTCGAGGTATGGCCCCTGGATCACACTTTTAGGATTGTACTAGAAACTTGGCTGAGTTATATTCAACCATGGAGGTATGTTAAAAATGATTTTCCTACGTTATCTTCTGATTGTAATGTAAACAATAATTGGTATCATTTTGTATATGCTAATATTCAGTTTTACTCGGCTTTATTCCAAGTTGTTATTAGGAGATTCATTAGAATGGATATAGGAACAATGGGAAATTCCTTCTTGCTTTTTCGAGTTGCAAAAGTTTACAGCCAACCTAATTTGATCACCTTGATAGACCAAGCACATGAAGCAAATCCACAACTTGCTTACAGTCAGTTGTCTGGAAATTTTGAAAGCTATGTCATTAGCCAATCATATGGAGCTGTCGAGCCTAAAGATGATGACTTGTTTTCTCCTGTTTTTATCGATGTTGTGAGGCAACTGTTACTTATAATCTCCCAAGCATTAGAAACTACAAAATCGTCAGCTGCTTCTGCGAACTCCGACTGGTCAAATCAAGTATTAACGTTCTGTGGTTACGGAGCTTTTGTTGAAAACAACGATTCTGGTTCTACTGGACCAGACAAGAAAAAGATTGTGCAAAATCTAAATTATGCCTTGAAAACTTTCTGTGATATTTTTGAGTTACCATTACCCAAACTTGATACCGTTTCAAGAAAATCACCTGGACGTGGCAGTGATATAGCAGAATATGAATTAGATGAAAATGGAAAAATGAGTTTGTCACCAACTGGCCGTTTTCAGCTTCAAAACAAATTGAAAAAATTCCCAATTTTGCCAAATGTAGATCCAGATCTTCGTCCTATTTGTAGTTTTGAGAATGCTTTTTTGGTTCGTTTTTTACACAAACTTTCATCAAAATTCAATGGCAAATACCAACATGAAATTGAAGAATTATGCAAGAAGAATGATATCTTGGGAAAAGTCTGTAAAATATTATTTGAACAACCTGACGAATTCCCTGCATTGAAACACGGTTTTCACCCTAAGCCTCATCTATCTTTGAGATTTATCGCTCATTACAGAAACATATTCTACATTTTCATGTTATATGCTCTGTCGTTATTTTTTAGGTTCAATTTTGTATATGCATGTATTTACATTGTTTTTCTACTTGTCATCATAATATTCTTCAGAGCTTTGTTCAGTAAAGATTGATATTTTCTTTCCAATATACATTTCCTACCCTTGTGTATCAATTGGATATTTGATGAATCGTATAGGAGGGTTGCATTTGCTAAATCTTGTAATTGGCAATGAAGAAGAATTATCTAAGGCTGTGAAGCCAAAAAAACTACTCAGACTCATGGTTAACAAAAATTTCCAACTTTGATAACAGGTAGAGAAAAGTTATGACACTCGGCTACAAGAAACCAATTGTTGGTAAACCAAATTTGTACATATGTGTTCTCTATTCAATTGCTTATTGATATCAATTCGATGCTAGAAATTCCATATTTGATTTTAATTGATTTTAAAATCTGATATTTTGACTCTTCGGTGTATAAAGTGAAGACTTCCATTATTACTAGAAACATACCAAGTACAGACTCCTCAGCTGTGTCCTCTTTTTTACCAAAAATACCCTCCTTCTGACAATAAGCTATAGTTCATCACATACTTTTTGACAAATTTGAATTTAAACAGTCTAGTTTATGTAATGGTGTTGTGAATGGGTTTTTACTGATTTTTTCCCTAATTTTTCACTTATTTGATGTTGTATTCGATATTGACTAACATTTCGTATAAACCATTTTTAGTGTGTAAATAATACATCAATTTTCTGCCAATTACATTGATGTGAAGTGTCAAAAATTAATTCCCAAAGTCGTAGATCAATCATACTTTTTTATACTGTCTGTGTTTTCATGATTAAAATTTTTGGCTTGATAGTGTTTTTGCATTCATTTCTCAGCTTATAGATTGGATGTAACTGTAATTACAACCTCAAGCTCAATAGTTAATTATTTTATTTGTCTGCAAGCGAACAAATGTACCACATCTAATGTTATGCTGTATATCAGACTATACCACCTTGGTTATATTATTACATGACCACGCTTGTCTTTTTGTCGCCGATTGTTTTGCTAGAAATCACAGTCAAAAATATCTAATGACACCAAAAAAATAAAGTATCAGATACATTCAGACACACAAAAAAATTAGACAGCATGAAAAGAAAACACATTTTGTCTCACTTTGGCAAACAATACGCATATCTGATTAACAATTTTCTAAACAACCATGATTGTATTGCAAATCAAATAATTTGATGCATTTCAAGTATCATGATAAGTTTTCATTTTAAAATTTCAGTACCAACACCCAAGATGTTCCATATCAAAGCAACCCAATTTTCTAGAGCTATACGCACACTATCATGCATCTCAACTGATCTAAACAGTTTGAGCAAACTCTCTAGAAGATTCCAACAATTCATTTCGATATTGAAGTGTTTTCGCCCAAGACTTTTTGTTCTTGTGAAGAGTGGTGTTCTTGTTACATTCATAGTGAAACTCTGGTCCCTTCATTGTGTACCATTTGGGTTTTGGCCCTCTTACCCTCTCTAACTCGGACTCTCGCTTAAGTTGAAGCAAATACTCTTCTTCCACACGTAACCTTGCAAGACGAAGCTTTGCAAGCTCTTGTTGGTAAGGGCTATTTTCAACCAATGCTCTGCGGGTGTCGATTTGATCTGCTGATCTAAGGAATCTCAACTCTGTTTCGGAAGGCAAGGGGTGTATTTGTCTTGGATATGACCCCTCACTCATGGTCGAGTGCCTTGTTATGGAACGCCCACGAGTGACCAACTCATTTGAGGAATTGGCTCCTGCAGCACCAAGCACAGTCGCACGCTTCATTGATGCAGATTTGCACCGACGCTTTGTCGTGCTTAAAGCAGGTGGTGGTTTGGCACTAGCATTTGCATTGCGTGAGTTTGGCACCCAAGTTGGTCGAGGTGAGTGGGCCCTGGATGGACTGCGAGTTGCAAAGTTTGGCACCACCGTTACTTCTGAAGTTGTACCAGCTGCTGTTGCAGGCCTTTGCATTTTGACAGGAAAATCAGGTGGAAGCAAAGAACGTACTCCGACAATGTGTGGGGCAGTCAGCCTCACTGGAAACGTCTCCATACTTGATGCTAAATCAGTGGATGTCAGCTGACCATAAATATTCTTTGTGGCCATTTCAGCACCAAAAATTCCAGTTCCCCTACTAGTGGGTGACACAGATCGTGTTGATATTCCGAGCTTTTTTGCAGTGTCGAAATTACCCATGGATGTCGTCAAATGCTGTGGGTCCCTATACCACTTTGAGTCTCTTGGTGGTAAATGTGACACTGCCTCCTCATCCTTCCGCTGCAGCAAATCTCTCAGTTCTGCATCATCGTTCAAATAGTCACCATAACCATTACTACCCAATCGGTTTTCTTTATGAAACTCCTCAATGTATTTGTCCTGATCGTAATTCGCATCTCTTGCAAATACGAGACTCTTCGCATAGTTTTCTTCTAAACTATCATTGAGATGTCTCAAGTCTGATTTAAGCTTCGATAAAGTGCTCTCAAGATCTTCTACTGTGGGCCCCTTATCTCGTGTTTCCATTGCTGAGCGAGGGCGGCGTTGCAAATTCATAGACCTGCGATTTCCAGGGAGATTAAGACTGGAGCTTAGATTTCTAGTGGTCAGCGTTTTTTCTGTATTAGTAAAATAATTAGAGTCCTTGCGAATTATTGCCTCTTTGTTGCCAACTACTGCAATCATGTCGAGAGGCGACCGACCTACCTACATTACCAACTAATTCTTCTAGTGAAGCGTCATTCGCTGTCATGGCGACGGAAATATCACCGCAATGCGAGACACCCAGTGGAATATTGTCGGGGCTGAAGGTTTCTCGTTAAAAGTAGAAACGAGTGGGTTAGGATAGGGTGGGATTTACGTATTTATTCCGAGTTATAGCAAATCTTCCCACCATCGATACTTACCATGTTCCAACTTTGAACAGCAGCGGGCTAGTCATAGGCAAAGCAAAGAGTTAATTGCAATAACTACCCCACGAAATCGAGAATTTGAATATTTTTATGCCAGCAATTAAGCAAAGTCGTTACTGCTTAGAGGCGAAAATCGATTTTGAGTATTATCGGTAAAATATTCGTGAACGTGAAAAACAATGAAGTGCCCGAAGATTCTATAGAAACAAACAAACACTCGAAACTGTTCTGCAAATCATGACGCAATTTAGTCAGGTATTGACGACATTTAGTCGCCCATTTGGACTCATTGTGCAAAATGGTAATTGTATTTAGGGAATGTTGGAAATAATCAATAACTTTCAATTGAATCCTGAATATGAATAATTTTATGCATAGTCCTAAAAGAGAACGGTAAAAGACTTCGATACAAAAGAGAACCTTTTTTCAGCTCGGTGGTGTCGTGCATCGTGCTAAGCGTTGGGAATACGCTCGCCACCTCCCCGCTGATTACCCTGCGCGCAGGAAGGAAACACTTTACCCGTTAACCTAGCAAAATTAACCGGTTAACCGCAGCGTGACGTTTTACGTAATAATTTAGCTTGTTACGTCACAATGGTTCAAAGCAATTTCGCCTGATCTTATCCCGGTACCGCTTAAAATTATTCACGAATGGAGATAGAATCGTGATCGCTTTGCTGCAAGAGAAATGCAGCGTGCCTAGGACATATGGAAATATTTTACTAAAATGCGAATCCGTTATTAAATTTTATTCAAGATTGCTAATTATGAAAATTTGACAAATGATAAATCCAGAATCAGTTTTCGGTCAAAATATATTGTTCACGATTTTATTGCAAAATCGTATATTCAGTGCCATCAAACAAGTGCGCAGTTGATGCTGTTTTTCTTTATGATATCTCAGAGTAGAATTTGCACGTTGAACACTGAAAATTCGTCACATAATACTCTATTATTTTTCACATTTATTCTTCTGAATTAAACGTCACACCAGATAAATTTGCGATGACGTAATCATTTCTTAAAAAAATTGTAAAGATTACATTATACATTATAAAAATGATTTGTACCTGAGATGTCAGATAACGGTTAAAATAAATCGTAACCGTTAAAAATCGGTTAACCATTCCCATCCCTACTAATCACATATACGACATGGACTGGTAACCGGACGAAAAGTCGTCCTTCGCCATATGATTAAGTTGTCTTATCGGCTTTCCTCCTCTCCGGGATTAATATGTAAATCATATCATATGAAATGTCGGGACTTTAGGGAAATTAAAAAATGTAAGTAGGCCTAATATCCATGTTTCCATCTTTGGGAATTGATTAGGAGAAAGTCGATATTTCGATACAATAAAAAAACAAAACAAAATCACTTTAGCAAAACGTCCACTGCGTATATAAAAATTGGGAGTCCTGAAATATTGTATAAATTCCGATATTGAACCGGGACTTCCATTTTAGTGCCGTTTTTTGCATTTCCAAATATATTTCAGTGCAAAATGGAATTTGTATTAGAACTTTTTAATTTACGTTTTGTGCTGTATAATGATTATTATACTGCCATTAAAAAGTCTACGCGAGAGCAATTCTAAAATATATGGATTCGGAGGTCGAGTCGAGCACTTAGTTTTCAGAAAAGATCTGCAGACAAGCGCGACGGATGTCCAAAAAAAAAAACGAGACGAAATAAAGTGTTCCCTCAATTCATAAAAAGTTCCCCATGAGGTAAAATTGAGGCGAAAAAAATTGAGTCCATCAATCTTCTCGCACATAATTAACCCCCGCATTGGATTCGAACCTGCGCCAGAGGTTTGGTGGCGAGCGTATTTCAACGCTTAGCACGATGCGCCACACCGCCGAGCGATTTTGTTCAATTATGAATGTGAAAAATTTAATCACGACAACAACAACAATTCGCTGATTTAGCGAAACGAGTTACCGCCTTACCGGTACTGTGCTGGGTAATCTAAGTCGTCCACTAGCTTCCAAACAGGATACGGTACCGTGATTTGTAATGTATTAGTTAAAAAGATTAAGCTGTTCAGAAAACAATTTTCTCATCTCTGTATTTTCAGTACCGGTACCGGTAACTGATCTTACCTGAATGATTATACCGTACCGGTATGTGGTTTTAATTCATTTGTTAAGTTTAGTTTTTTACTGTTTTATGCATACCGTAGGGGCTATTTATTTATTACTAACACTGCCAATTCAGCAGTTGTGGAATTCTGATACTGTCCAATGATAGGCATAAAGTACCGGTACCGTACCCATATCCATATGAAGAAAACTGGGAAAGACCTAAATTTGAAACAGTGCCAGTGCATTCCTCAGTACCGGTAGTAACGGTTTATACCTGACATGGGCAAACCACAACCCACGGGCTAAATCCGGCCGGTTGGGTTATTCAATCTGACCCACCTGAATCGGATGCTGCTGTAAATTTTAGCTTTTAACCAGTTCTACATGCAGCACAGAGTTGTTATTAAAATTTGTATGATGTAATACAGCAATAGTCTTGTTAGATTATGATCGTAGTCTGTGTAAGTTGTATTTAAGGTTCCCACAGACCTCCATGCTGTCATGTAAGTGGGATGTTAAAAAAAATTCATATTTTTTCGCTCAGTCGATTCAACTGTGTACTTTGCGCATCTCTTTCTCCTCTTGCGTGTATCCCCAAGTTTTAATTTTGTGCCGACAAAGTTTTGTTAATGTCCCTATACCATTCTCTCAACGTTCTTCTTTGTTCATAGCTTACACATACTTACCATGTAATCGAGTCTATAGTTTTCCAATGTTTTCTAATAATCTGTTGCTGCATTCTTTTTCTGCACCCTAATTCGTGAAGAGTGATAGCTAAATTATTAATAAAGACTAACTTTTGTCCACATATGTGAGTGAACAGACCTCCAGCTGATGATTTCAGCAAATCCGAACACAGATTTCAATTTGCCGAAACTGATCTCAAATCTGTTTTGACAATTGCAACAGCCAAACTCAAACTAAATTTGGATAATTTAGCTAAAAAATAACTCAAGGAATTTGTTGAGATTACGATTAAATTTAGTTGTGGCACAGGGCTTATTATTTTCCACTATTGCTTTTTCAACACCGTCTCAACACGTAGGTATACTTTGGCAAGCTCTATGACGTGATTGTGTCGTTGTAGTGACATAATTCTTGGATGGCAATGTCAGGTGGGGGTTAGGATTGACATGCATAAAAATCGTCACGCTACGCCCACTAGAAGTACTTTAGGTACGAAACTACAGGACACCCCATAAAATGTAACTTTCACGTCACAATTACAATACTCGCCAGTCTAGGTGGCCAAAATTTTTGGTTCCTGGCCAAATAACCTTGCCTACCCACCCCTGGTTTGGACGTCATATATAATATTAGGACAAGACCATATGATTTCATGATTACATACATCAATGACATAAGTACGATAGCTCGGTATTTACAATTTTTATCCATCCCAGTTTCTGTGTTATATACAATTCAAGGGCATGAAAGTTGTGTACAAGGTTAATAAGACTGCCTATTGATTCGTTTTTTAAAAAAAATTCTAATCTAATTGGTTAGAAAGAATGTTTCACTAAGGTTCGACTCTTGCCAATAATTGACAGTCGACAGTGCATGAGGGAAAGAAAGATCAATAAGTTTACAAGCACACGAATTCATGAAGATACTAATCAATATTTATATATAGCCCACTTATTTGATGAAAAAAAATTACCATATTCCATTGATGGATTGAGCAAAAGTCTCTATTACATATCTGCAGTTTCTGAGAAGTGAATTAAGAGCTTTGGTGCCAGGATTATTATTTTATTTTGCTCGATAAGCTCGCTTTAATGTATGACTTTTTCTTGGTTTGTTTAGGAAGAGTTTACTTATTTAATATTTGTAATTGTCACTGTATTACTTATTATTCCATATATAAATATAGGGTATTCCTGACAGTACAGCACACTATACAAATCGGGTGAGATTGTCCCGTTTCAGAGAAACCCGTTTTACAGATGATCAGACACCCCTTCTTTGGGAGACGTCTGGACATTGTTGTCCCTCAATATCGGTAATAGTATAATGAAGTTGCGCAAAATACTACAAAAAAGCACACTCTAGTAACGTCATCATGGAATTCCTTGGGAAAAAATAATCCGATTTATCAAAGGAAAAAAAAATTTATCGTAGCATTCGAGAGTTTTCAGCAAAAAACGGCAATTTTGGTCATGTGACGGCCACGATTAATTTAGATTTTTATTGAAACAAGCATGGCACGATATGAAGCATCTGACGTGGTCCCAGACGCCCCTCGTTTGTGAGACACATAAAGTGTTTGTTTTATTGAGCCAAATGGAGGGAAATTCTTGGAATTTGGATAGTGTGCTGTACTGCCTGAAGTATGCGCACCAAGATGTTGCACAACCTGAACCCTAACCTGGTGCACAACCTGAGTTCAGGTTATTATTACAATCTATTATAGTTATCAGTAGCAGTTACGTGATACTAACTTCAAATTCTTCCTCAATGCCTTTGCGCTAGTGGATCTGTACTTGTATAATGTAAGGATGCTGTAGCAGAAATAAACACGACCGTACTATGCAATTCAAGAATCTGCTGCACACCAACACTAATGTATTTCTGTAATGTTTCGTCTGACCAAAATCAGACTTTCTTTAGTTTTTTTTTTTAGCTGCCGGGAGGAATAACTTTTTCGACAAATTGGGATGCTCATTTTGGTAATCTTTTATTTAATGTGAGTATGTGACAATGGGTTACAAATGCTCAGGTCTTAATACCATACCGTGCTTATTTCTAAGATTTGTGCT